ATCCAGGGTCAAATGCAACTGGGTGATATCCAGTCAATGGAAAACATGATGATATTTTCCCCCATTTAATGGTATTAGTCTCATTTTAGAAATTCTTTAGGGATTCTTTAAAGGGACGCGGTGTCTCAAAAGGGGCGCAGTGACTCAGTGGTTAAGACGCTGAGCTTGTCAATCAGAAAGGTCGGCAGTTCAGCGGTTCGAATCCCTAGTGCTGCATAACGGAGTGATGTCCCCTTATTTGTCCCAGCATCTGCCAACCTAGCCATTCGAAAGTACGTAAAAATGCTAGTAGAAAAATAGGAACCACCTTTGGTGGGAAGGTAACAGCATTCTGTGCACCTTTGGCATTTAGTCATGCTGACCACATGACCACGGAGATGTCTTCAGACAGTGCTGGCTCTTTGGCTTTGAAACAAAGATGAGCACCACCACCTAGAGTCGGGAATGACTAGCACATATATGCTAGGGGAACCTTTACCTTTAGGGATTCTTTGGTTTAAACTAAAGCCATTGGTCCTTAATTTTAGCCTAAAAACCACCAATATATTTTATATAAAAATATGCACGTAAGTACATACAAACATATGTTACACTATTTCTTTTTCAAATAGGCATTTCAAAGAGCACATAAATGTATGTGAAGCTCAAATCAAACAACTTCCTAATAGATATGTCAAACAGAAACAACAATAATTGTCCGCACCTCCTTATTGGGTCATGTAGATTGCAGTCCAAACCTAAACACCTTCCAAGAGCATTAAATATTTCTTTTTTCATTTTTAATTTATTAAAAGTAAAGTCTTCTTTACTACCTTTACTATCTTTATCTGCATCTAACTTTGGCGTTCACAATATAACTAGAAGATGCTAAACTGGAGCAGACTGTTGTGGACATAACTGGTAACTTCTGAATTCCTGGATGCATGAACTCCTGCGAGTAACTTTATGGCTTTTGATGGAAGAACAGATCTTTTATGTTTGTCCTACAATAGAGAATGTGATAGAAGTGGTCTTGCCGTTGTCATTTCTCTCTTGCCCTTTTATTACAAAGATTTCAGTACTATATGACTTTCTGCAAGGGAGGGAAGGTACCACAAAATCCATTTTCAAAAGGAAGTTGGAAGCAGCTCGATAGCTTTATAATCAACGATTCTTGATCATTTCATCTTAGTTATAAATTTCTGAAATCAAACTAATACAAACACTGCTTGTGTTTCTTTCCCATAAACAGGAATATTAACTTGATCTTCTCATCAGCAGCTTGCATCAATGGCAGCTTTCTACAACAGAGGTAACTTGCATCCATAAAGAACTGATATATTTTCTGTTATTATAGTTTAAGGAAGACATGCTTAATGTAGAGCAAAACTAAAAAGGAGGTGTATTTATCAGTGGTGGCGCAGTAGTTAGAATGCAGTATTGCAAGTTAATTCTGCTGACTGCCAGCAGTTCAATTCTGACTTGCTCAAGATTGACTCATCCTTCCCTCCTTCCAAGATTGGTAAAAAGAGAACCTAGATTTGTTGGGGGTCCATATGCTGATGCTGTAAAACACTTAGAGAGGACTGTAAAGTACAGTGAAGTGATATATGTCTAAGTGCTACTGCTATTGCTATCAGTCTTTTAGGACCATGCTATTAGTGCATACATACATACATACATACATACATACATACATACACAGATTACTTACTTTCTGGAATCAAATACTGTGGGGGGTAAGACATTCCTAACAGCCCTTGGGGGAGTGTTCTGTTAAGATACAGCCTGTTGTGCCTTAAAATGGCTTTTACCGTACTGCCTTAAAATGGCTTCTACTGAAGTTGCCATGGTAACGGCTTCACAGTACTCCACAAGGGGGCTCCCTCTGGTAAGGGGGAAAATCCAACATTAGAAATTGCGGCAACGTTCATGGAAGGAGGGTTGGGATAAATAAATACCCCAGCAGTGCCGGGTTATCAGCTAGTTATTATAAAAGGGGTCTGGTTGATACAACCTAGTGATCAACAGAGTAACCTTCATACCCAAATCTAATCCAAATCTTTCACAATCTGTAAATTTCCATGAAGTAGAGAAGTGACTATGATGGTGATTGATCCGTATGTTTCCCGCAGAGAGGAAAAATTCAGAACATTTGAAAAGACTGTTGGTGTTGATATGTCAGCTGTTCTTCTTTTCTTTAAGAAGATTGCCGCTAAGCCTAAAGTCTTCGCAAAGGTATAATGTGCCCTTCAAATTTCACAGATAGGATATAATAGAATATTTCCTGGTGTTTGTCTTTGGGGAATAAATAATTCTGAGTGTGCCGAGAAGCTTGTAAGAAAGCTTTTTATACCAAGATTGTCCCTGTAATTTAGGGATGTTGCAGAATGCAGAGTCTATTCAAAACCAGCAATTCTTTTACCTAGAGCAGGGGTGTCAAACTCAATTTGATTGTCGGCCGCATCAGGGTTGTGTTTGATCTTGGCGGGGGTGGCCAGGGTGTGTGTGGCCAGCTTGACGTCACTCATATCTGGGGCGCCTGTGGCAAGTGCTCTGCCAGAAAAAACAGGCTCCCGAGCTCCATTTTCAGCTGGGACAGCCTCCTGCAACCCTTTGCCAGTGAAAATGGAGCTTGGGAGGGCTGCTTGCAGCTCCGTTTTGGCTGACAGAGGGTTGCAGGAGGCTGCTCCAGCTGAAAACGGAGCTCGGGAGCCCGTTTTCACTGGCAGAGGCACCGCGAGCCAATCTTTCACTCTTTCCAGGGCAGTCCAGTGGGCTGGATCTGGCCCTCGGGCCTTGAGTTTGATGCCCCCGTTCTAGATTATGCTGCCAATTCATATGCATCCCTCTTGCAGAATATGTGCATGGCATACGTGTTACATAGAATGTCTCCCATGATAGAAAATGAAAGAATAAATAAATGCAGAACTATCTCTGACAGATAACTCTCAGTCTGTCCCTGACTTACATTTCAAATATTTTATCTATGATTCTCCACAGTAGGCCCTGTGCTGTGTTCAGAACTGCACACTGTTTTGTCCCATGTGTGCACTGTAAGAAAAGTCAGGAAAGAGTTGGAAGGAATCTATCAAGATACTGTTCTCAAACATTTCATACAGATAGTCCTCGACATAACTGTTCCCTTAGTGGCCGTTCACAGTAAACAACGACGCTGAAAAAAGTGACTTATGACCATTTTTCACAGTTGTGGCCTGTGACACATCTCCATGATCATGTGATCAAAATTCAGATGTTTGGCAATTGGTACATATTTATGAGCCACGGGGGGCACAGTGGTTAGAGTGCAGTACTGCAGGCTACTTGTGCTGACTGCCAGCTGCCTGCAATTTGGCAGTTCAAATCACCGAAGGCTCAAGGTTGACTCAGCCTTCCATCCTTCTGAGGTAGGTAAAACGGGGACCCAGATTGATGGGGGCAATAGGCTGACTCTGTAAACCACTTAGAGGAAGGCTGTGTAAGGAAGCAAAAAGGAAAACTGGGCTCAAGAAATGTGTTAAATGCACTTTCTTCTTCCTTTCTTCTCTTCTAGGTGAAAAGCGCTCTGAAGATCCTTCTGCATTGTCCCCTTCACGCTCCAACCTCGCCAGAAGCGCTCAGGTTCTTCCTCGTTGTGCCCGTACTGTTACAAAATCAAGATTTCGATCTCCTTAGTCAACTGGCAGAAGCAATCTACAAACTCCCACAGAAAGGCAAGCAAGCACTTGGTAAGGCAGCTGCTCAATTGCTAACTTCACTGAAATGTCAAACTTCCAGAGAAACATCAAAACTGTTTGAGGGAATCACCTCTTCCCAATTTATTTCATTTATTTATTTGTCAAAAAGTACAAGTATGAAACATGTATGAAAACCCATGAAAAATGGCACAAATGAAGGAATATAAAGAAGCAAAGCATAGCCATAAACACATACAATGAGTACATATAATTTGGGACAGTAGGATAGGGATGGTAGGCACGCTGGTGCGCTTATGCACGCCCCGTTAGGGACCTCTCAAGAAATTCATCCACGGTAGACAGTTTAAGGTAAAAGGTATGGAGGTTAGAGGAACTAACCAATTCCATCTGCCCATCCTATGGTTTCTGGCTATGGTTTTCCCAATTGCAATGTATGGATGTGAAAGTTGGACCATAAGAAAGGCTGAGAAGCAAAGAATTGTGGCCTTTGAACTCTGGTGCTGGAGAAGACTCCTGCGAGTCCCTTGGACTGCAAGGCAATCCAACCGGTCAGTCCTAGAGGAGATCAACCCTG